GGGCTCGTCTCCGGAGAACAAGAACGTACCAGTCATCAGAGCGACACACGTGTAGAACGTAGTGTACCTATCAAAACCGTCACGCGCCACAAAATTATCCACACTACAATGAGATTTCCATCAAATGGTCATATCGCTTCTTAATCATGATGTTGTGACGATACAGCCACTCGACCAGAACTGCCTGAGAGGAGCTCGCCAGCGCCACACCTGACAAACCAATCCTCGCGACCATTGGAACCACGAGTAATACTCACCGAAGAAGGTGATGAGCACACCTGCCAAAACCTGAACATTGTCCTTAGAGACCTTCTCGTCATGCTGCGTAGCGAACGAGTCTATAGCACCACCGATCAGCATAGCCGCTACCGCTACGTAGTGGTAGCGATTGAAGACCCTACAAGGGACACACTACTGGGCCAAGCCCAAGACTGACTGACGCTTACTTTCCCAATAGGAGTATCGAAGTCACTAACGTGATGAGCAGCTCACATGTGCGGACCACGGTGAAAGTACTGCCCGGCAACATCTTCAAAGCGAACTGGAGGAGGACCAATCGTTGACAGTGGGAATCCGCAATCCCGAAAATCCTACCGAGATGCACAACAGCTGGCAGCCAGTGAAGAGCCCTCCCAAGACATGCCACTTAATCCTGCCAGTCCTGTATGGCGCCATGAACAGATCCATCAATGTTGACGGGTTCTCCTCTTTTTCTGGCAAACCACTCTCATCAACCTTCCTATCGTAAGTGCCGCCCGACTCACCCCGTTCGACATTGACCCTTCTCATACAGAAGATGATATAAATAGGAATGACGAATACAAAACCAACACCAGCTAGATCGGCGAGCAGCCATGGCAGCTGCGGATGCAAGTTAGTTTGGAAGTACTTGACCAATACGACCTACCACGTCACAATGATAGTCGTCACAGAGCCGCGAACAGGACTCACCTGACCGACCGAAGAAATGATCCAAATGGTGGTGAAGCATATCAATGGTACAATAGATGACCTCGCAATTCTATGCTGATGATGGGCGTTGTTGTTGGTCATCCTCGTCGAGAGACGCGGGAAATAGACGAGCCCAAGCCAGCCAGCATTGACCACTGCAACACGAGCATTAAGGCAGCTAAACTTCTTTCGAGTGGAAACTAAATTATACAAGTTTGGCATGGTAGATTAAGCGAGTCATGGGTGAGACGTTCATCAGCTCTGACCGGGCACACAGAGAAAAACAGCGAGGGTACTACCGCTACCGCCACTACCGGGTGTCAATCTGAGGGTACTACCGCTAAACTGCAAGACCTGTTAACTAGGCTTGATCATGCCCACTGTAGCGCATGTAGGAAAGTGTATTAACAATATAACCAAAAATGATGAAAGTGGTGCCAAGACGTTACCTTGCCAAGACAGTCCTAACAAGTGAGGCGTGATGGCGTCTAATAAGCATCTCGACGAAGCTCCTCCCACAGCCTCTCTCGACGGTATTATTGGCATGTAGATTCGATGGCAGAGATGCTACTGAACACAGCAGCACCACAACCAAGAGCAGCATGAGTCCATCACGATGGCAGGGAAAGGTCTACCTGGAGTGGCGTCTGACACCAATTGGTAGTGCCGCGAATGGTGAATGCTCATGGAACAATACAGCCATAAAATGCATATTTAAGAATAACACACAACTGGGAGTCCCTCATCCTCCTCCTCCAGCTCCTAATACAGGATGTATTAAACATGACGTTTGAGTGCCCACCATAGAGGTCATGATCAGAGCGCAGGACAAAGTCAGGCGGATTGGACACAACCACGTGCTGGTGAAATAGAGATCACCTCTTCAGAACAACAAACACAGTATAAGGGGCGACATGACCGCTATGTAGATTCAGCTGGGAGGCTGTGCTCCCCCGACCGTTACACTACAACAGCCGCTGTTCAACAACGTCGTCAGTACGGCTACAATGGTGGTAAACGCGGGGACAAATCGCAGACCACCTCACTATTGAGGAATAGCAAGATAGCAAGACGTTGCAAGATTTTGGAGGTTATTGGTAATTCAGCAACTACAATGAAATAAATCCCTAATTCGAAGGGACTCACAACAGGGACTTGACTTTGGGAAGCTACTCTCCTCCTTGATCAAACTGCATACTGTGGGTGCTCATTATTAACTGTAATCCTTTCCTTAGCCGGTCATTACCACTACGTTCCTCTCCGTGACCCTTTAACAATGTCAGCTAACGTCTCGATCCCTAAGGCTGGTGCCGGTGCTGACTTGAGGAAATTCATGGAGAAGCGACTCGATCGTAATCACTGTAGTTGCTGTGGTAAAGGGAGGATGTTCTGTTGGTCAGTGAAACTGAACGGCAACCGCCATGTTGTAGGAGTACTCAGAGGATATGACCAGTTCATGAACCTGGTGTTGGATAACGCTGTAATAAGGGGGCATTTCCTCTATACCTAGGGAGTGTGGGAAGCAGGCGGCTCACATGGGCTCTGTATTGGATCTCTGAATTGTGCCTTTTATCTGTACATATCAGGTCGAGCTGGTTTCCCGTACTGAGAAGAAGGACATTGGTATGACTGTCATTCGCGGTAACTCGGTACTCATGTGGGAGTGTCTCGACAGGGTCACACAGTAGAAGAGTTCTAATAGAAGAAAATGATGGCAATAGTAGTATTAAGCTTCTCGAACTACAGCGGCTAACACTCCGGCTCTCTAGGTATATAATGGTCAATTGGTGATGACGATACCGAGGAGCCTCATTTCCTATGCTCACTACAATGTGTTGCGTCTATAGTTTACGCGGGGGGTTTACGGGGAATAATTGTTAGAATAGTCTTGTTTCATCCTAATGTCCGAGACGGAGAAGGAGGAAACAGAGGAAAAGAAAGTAGAAGAGACGGATGAGGGCAAACCGACGGCCACCAAGCAGTAATCATTGGGACGTGCCTGGGAGGGTTCGCTTTATCATAGGGACTTACCGGGAGGACTAACTGTAGCGGATTTCGAGTCAGGCTCATTCTAACGATACGTTGTAGTTTTCTTCCGTATAGTACGTGTGGGAACGATTACTTCTCGCAGTACTCTATCACCTGTTTCTCGAGGTACAAAGTTTTCGTGGGTAATATGTCATATAATACTACCCAGGATGCCCTCAAGCATTTCTTCAAATGTGTTAAGGGTAGTAGGCTGCTCAGCTCGTCGCGCCTCCTATCAAATTGCAGATGAACTATCATCGATTCGACTCCTCACCGATAAGAAGAGCAATCAATCGAGGGGCTGTGCGTTCGTTGAGTTCAGTGGCCCTGGGGCAATGAAGAAGGCCCTTGCCATGACCGGTAGCGAACTGAATGGACGCAAGTGGGCACTAGTTCGAGAGGAGTCTGGTCCAGCTTCATAAGTCAGGTTGAGGATAGAGCCCTCGGCTGCTGGCGGTGGAAAAAGTACTAAGAGAATGCAACGTATAAATCGGAATAAGAAAGTTGTCGAGCGCGAGGTAATGGAGATGGATTAATGATTATCAATGATGGTTTCCGGCACAGATCAAAAAGAAGAGAAAAGTGTGGGCAGCCAAGAAGAAGACTGAGAAAGAATCTGCAGATGTTCATAAAACTTCAACGTAATCACCTGTTTCTTCAGAATGACTTGTTGTTTTGTCACACTACTGAGAGTCACAACTTGGGACTGTGCCTCCATTCGAGAGAGGCTCGTAGAAGCAAGCTAGCGGATGGAAATTCACAGACTCGTGTTAAACACTTTTCAACAATAGCATTAGGCCTTTCGTAATGGAATCTGTGTAGAAGGGGTTTATTTATGATATAGGAGTTCAGCTTGGTCTAGAGTGCACAAGCCTAGATGCATATTCGCACTGTCTCGCCTAATACTGCGAGTTGGCGATGCCATTTATTTGCACGATGGATGAGGTAGACCCATTCAATAAAGATCCGTTCTTTCTGACTGAGACAGAGGGCCGGAGTAGCGTCTCTAGAGGAAGGTCTCTGATTCTTCGGAATTTGAAGTATATCGTGCCATAGGTTTTAGACAACTCTAGCCTATCCAACAACATCATGATATTAGTCAGCGGCAATGGTCCATCACTGACAGCGTGTCCGAGTGGTTAAGGAGGTGGACTAGAAATCCACTGGGCTCTGCCCGCGCAGGTTCGAATCCTGCCGCTGTCGTTATTTGAGTTGACCAGCTGTCCCATTTAAGACTGGCTTGAAACTACCAACTACCAGACGCCCCGTGACGAATGTGATGATCCCATCTGCTCAAGACATTGCATAGTGGGGTGGTCAATTTACTCGGAGTTGGGAGAGACAGTATTCGAAGAGGCTTCGAGTGATCACAGTCCTTACATGTGTAGCTGAGAAAAGACGTTCTCTGAACACCAATTCAATACTCCAATTCAATGAGCAATGAAGCAGGCCCGCTGAAATGGCTACGTCCTACGATAGTACACAATGAAGAAATCAAAGCATCATACCAATGCGATCAGATATTCACTGTACCAACGCGCTAGTCTCAACCAACACTCGTACGCGATTATTAATCATGAGTCCGAAACCTCGTAAAGACTCGCACGCGTCTTGGACCATACATTCAGTCGACCCAGTTATTACATGCAAATTTGGTAAACTACTCGTTCGCAGCTGCATTCTATAACACTGTTCGCAGGGTCAATATTGTACCGCTCATCTACGCATATGTGAAGAGTATGTGTGTACTCCTATACGAGGCTACCCTAAACCACCACACAGGCCCTGTGGCGCAACGGTAGCGCATCTGACTCCAGATCAGAAGGTTGTCCGTTCGAATCGGGCCGGGGTCATATTACAGACTTGGGAATTTGCGTGGGAGCATGGTACTGTACTACACTGCCGAAGTAATTAGACATCATCGAATCGGCTCCATATGCATTGTGAGTCAGCATTTCTGACAGAGATTCTAGAAGTAAGTATGTGGAGACGGTTTATGATTCTCTCAACAAGTTAGCTGCATAGTGCAGCCAACAGAAGGTCCCAGTTGGAACAGTTTGAAGCTTTTTCGCGCATCCATACGGACAACAAAATCAGTATTTGGTTTGACTTGAAACATAGTTCTTCAAAAACATGGAAATAAAACTCATCTGTCAGCTGCGAATGCCATCAAAACAGTCCTTCGACTTTTCCGGTGGACGGATCGATGTCGACCTGAGGCATTGGGTCTAAGCGAACGAGAAGGAACATTCGTATACGTCATAGAAGCATGGGCGTGTGGGGAGACCGGGCATTGTCATGATGGGCCCAAGAAGGGGATAGATGAATCCAGCGCCTGCATGGAAGTTTCATTCAGAGAAAGTATGGACAGGTCCACATCGTCCCACCAGCGGCAGCACGACAGCTCTTCACTTTTATAGTGAATCCGGTAGGTCTTCCACGCAGAGTGGCGTCCGCCGATAAGGAGTATCTACAGTCATCCCACGATCGAGTCCGAGACCAAATGAGACGCGCGATTACTGGGTCTTGGCCATACAGATCGGGAGCTTGCCGAGGCCAGCTTTCTCAAAACGCTCTATCGCCAAGTCTGCCGCCTGAAGTAAAGCTGCTATCACGGGGCACCGAGTAAAGGCTTTCGCACTTCTTCATACTCTACCGCCACAGCACCGTAGATCTTCATACAGATAGCAGAAATCTTGTCCTTGATCGAGATGTCCAGAGGATAGCTAAGAGTACAAAGTCGCGAGCAAATCTCATTCGACGATCGTACGCGAACTTGAAATCCGACCTGACGTTCTCGCAAACCTCGGTGAGCTTCCTGGCGATGTCAACAGCTCCCTCGCCACCGCGGGCCCAGTGATCCGAAACCACAGCTGCTGCAGCGCCACTTTTTAGGGCGTCATCAACTGTTAGAAGGGAAACAAAGGGATCGTTGGTCATCAATTCCGACCCCTACCAATCAACTTCAACTCAGCATCAGAATCCGTATTCACCTTGTTCACACACACGACCACTGGAACCTAATAATACAAGTGATTGACGGAACAGATTTGAGTTGACTCCTCTCAGAGGAATTTACCCCAAATTGGTTTCCAATATCAATATGGGCCTGGAGGTTGCCAAGACCCTTCTGAACTAGATCGAGTCGCTCTGTTGTGTACCTGAGAAACCATTATCTCACCAAAACCACCAAACCGATCAACTCACGCGTCGTCCATCTTCTTCCCAGCCACCACTGCCGGGCCGCCACCATGGCTCTTCAAGGCACGAGCAGTAGTAACGAGGACCTACACCACCACGCCTAGCGCCAAGCTCAGCCGCTTCTAGAGACCTACGATGGCATCCGGGCGGAGTCCACTGTAGCGGCATTTGATGTCCATAAATTTCTCCATGCCGATGTCCGACCCAAAGCCGGCCTCGGTCAGAACCTAAATGCAGCAACGAACTGAACGGCATACTGCGTTGATAACCTCACGTATCCATCTTGCCCGACGAGTTTCAAGGCGACCTGATCAGCAACGATCGAGGAGTTGCCATGGGCGATGTTGGCGAACGGGCCCGCATGGACCTGAGGGAAGAAAGGCCATCATACAACGGTGAGAGATGGCACTGCAAGGTCGTACGAAAACTGGTGTTCCCTCGAGGGTCTGCATAATAGTAGGGTTGATAGTGTCTTTCAAAAGCACCGTCATTGCCCCCGCAACCCCAAGGTCGTCTGCCGTCACAGGGTTGCCCGCCTTACTGTAGGCAACGACCTGATGGTAATGGTGACCTCACACTGGCACAGTTGTGCTGTACCATCCTCCTCAGTCTGTCTCGCATGTCCTCCAGACTAGTCGCCAGTGCGAGGATAGCCATACACTCGCTGCCTGAGCTCGCTATCTATCCCCTCCCAGGGTAAGGATCTTACTAACAGCAATATCCACTTGGGTTTCCCTAGTATAGCCTTTCTCATTGGGCCCTTGACCGATCGTTATCTTGCGGAGCATACGGTCGTTAACGTCAACAACTCGATTCACCTGTAGAGCGGACGAATCCAATACCCAATGTGGAGAAATATGCACATGGTCAACTACATGTGTTGATAACAATATGAAAATTCTGAGGAAATTTGAGGAAAGTCTCGTTGGTTTTTGAGCGCTTACAGCCGAATTCGTACATCAGGCCGTATGAGTATGAGGAAACTCCAGAGCTGAGCTGGGAAAAGCGAACATATATTCCATCACTACCCACCATGATCGTGTCGGGATCGATGTCGAGACGGACCAAGCGGCCAACACCCTCCTCATCCAGCTGGTCCACATCTGTAGGCAACCCCAAACGCTCTAGACGACGAAGTATAGACGCCGAAACCTTGCGGGTGCCGCCTTTCATTATCGGGCAAATACCTGCGAGTGGCTGTACCGACATAATATAGCGGGGAACGGCCAGGTTACGATCAAAGAGGGCCTTATCAGATTGAGTGTTCTCGTGGAATATCCTCGTGTCCAGCTGAGCCACCAAAAGGTTATTGGCGATCGAGATAGCGTGTATGTCACCTAATAGGAGTCCACTCAGAACTGACCTCGCTAGGAGGACCCTCCTACCAGTGAGGTGAAGGTTGAAGTCGTCCATCGGTATGACCTGCGAGTAGCCCCCTCCTGCGGCCCCTCCTTTGATACCAAAAGTAGGGCCCATCGAGGGTTGACGGATGCAGGTAAAAACCTAAACGACGACGGCACTGGGATGAGGCGTTGGGTCGGGTTCTACTTTTTTCCCCAAGTGCGCCCCAAGGCTTTGACTGATCCCCACGGTACAAGTACTCTTCCCCTCCCCGAGTGGGGTCGGCGTCACTCCAGCCACAACAACATACCTGCGATTCAACACCGACTAGCCCCACCGTCGAGAGGGATCCTTATAACGTACTTTCCATTCGGCTTGTTAGCCAGACGCTCTCGGACAGACAGGTTGATCTTGGCAGCGTACTTGCCGTAGCAATCATAGTCCTCATCGTCGAGACCTAGCGACTCGCAAACGCTGCGGATGTGAACCGGCGCCACCTGCAGGTACCATTAGCATTGGAATATATGTGTGCTGTCCTCAGCTGAGGTCGGGACGCCCGACTCGGGAGTTCTGTTACTAATTATAGAAGTTCACATACAAGAAACCAACAAGCATCAACCGAAATTTCCACAGAATTTTCCTTTTGTCATTAACGCATGTAGCTGACTATGCGCACATTCTCCACCGACACTGCACCATGCTTTACACTCTGAGCTATGTCGATGTCTGACGGCACTGGGGATTGGATTGACCCTTCAGGCAGGGGCCTCGGTAACAGGACTGTAGCAGGAGTCATCACGCGACAATTATGTATGTCGAAAAGACTAAAAGATCCGATAGAGCAACCAAGGTAACATGCAATTCCTAAAGATTCAATTCTCCATTACCAAACAGTATACTTCCCGAGCATACAGGCCCGATGAAGTACATGAACAACCGACACAAAGTAGTGGCGCCAAGTGATGAGGAGCTCAACAAATCTAGATGAGGAAATTGTCACTAAATTTACACTCAAGTACGCCGGTGACAGCTCTCGTAGTCTGAGAGTTTAGCCTTCAGCCGTTGGTTCTCTCGGGCCAGGATGCTCATCTGTTCTCGATAGAACTCGAGTTTAGCACCATCCAAGTTGGACGACTGGCTGACGGCGCGTGCCAGGACCGAATCGTGCCCGCTGGCGTCACGGCGCCGCTCTCTCATCGCCTGAAATTCAACACATGCGCATGCGTGCAGATCCGTCACAAGGCTGGAGACCTTTACTTCTATATCGGCCTTCAACCGGGAGTTCTCAGCTTTGCACTGCTCGACCTGAGCACGGGCGGTCTCTAGCTGATCCGCTAGTAGCCGGCGTTGGTTGTTGAGGACCATCTGGCTCTCAGTAAGGGAACTCACCTGACCATACGCTATCTGCATGCCTACACAACTGAGCGCAATGAGAATAATTTCTCACTTGTTGCTCTAATGCAGCCTTGTCCCGCCTGACAGTGTTGAGCTCTGCATAGAGGCCAGGTAGCTCTGCGCTGTCCGAGCGGCCCCGTTGTTGTTCATTGCCCGAGTTTCTGCTCTCATCATGGCTCGACGACGGCGAAGACGGGCCCGCCCCCACGGCACTGCGATCCGACCCAGCCGTCGGGGACGTGATCCTTCGGTCATTGCGATCTCCTGAAAATGATGGAATGTGCCTTAGGGACTTCACAGACCTACTATAAGGAGCATAGAGCTCTTCATAGGCCCTCACAGATTCCGAGTATAAGCGGAGTATATCCTCCTGGCTGGGCTCTAGCTGCACCACACGGTCGGGGATGAGGCCCATTTTCTGTCGAAGCCGAAAGTTGTCCAGGAGCTCCTCAACAGACAGGTTGGCGGTGACCAAGGGCCGA